TATATATAGAGAGAGAGAGAGAGAGAGAGAGAGAGAGAGAGAGGAGTATATAGTTCTCCTGATTCATCAGATAAGGTGTTATAGCTGCACTGTATTATGTATGTATTAGAGGGATTTAAAAAATTAAGACATACCAGGAAAGCTATAAAAATGTCTTGAGTAAACAAAATTCAGAACTAAGAACTTAAAAATTTGATGATTATTGATATAATTGACATATTATTACATGAATGATTATTTTAATTTACCTTTACAGAGATAAAAAATGCTTAGGAAACCCAAAAAAATGACTCAACCAGGGGCGACATCCAAATGTGTGCATACTTTTTGTTCATTTTCCTAAGGAACTTCATTTAGCTAAAATAAATTTTATACGAGGTCACTTGGAGTTTTGCGGAAGAAAAGTATCAAAAGTAAATTAAAGATTGGCTCTCTATAAGGAAAAGTCCATTTTTCCTGGACATAGATGAAGAAGAGTGAGTTTTGTATGATTTCCAAAACAAGAAACTCAGAAAACAGGCATCATCTGCCCAGAGTAGTTGTACGTGCTGCGTACATGCAACGTCACTGCAGGAGCTCATGAACTCATGTACTGTATACTTGGATAGCACTAAAGGTTTAATAAGAATTGCTGATTCTGTGATTTGTGTGTACAAAGGGGGAAGGAAGCATGGTGTAAGCATAGTATCAGGTTTGATAGAAACTTCCATTTTTGGGGGGGTTGAGACAGGGTCTCACTATGTAGTTGAAACTGACCTGGAATTCATTATGTAGCCCAGGCTGGTCTCAAAGTCTCAGCGATTCTCCTGTCTCAGCCTCCTGAGTGCTAGGATTACAGGTGTGTGCCACCATGCCTGGCAAAACTTCCATTTTAAAATCCTCATAACAGCCCTTTACTTTAGAAAATATTATATTCAATTAGCACATGAAGAAATTGAGGACCCAAGTGGTTGTATGTATTCCTTAAAGTCACAATGTTGTCAGAAAAATTGAAATTCAAAACACAGGTTTGGTTTTTTTACATTTTTTCCTCCTCCACAATGCCTCTCACAAGACCTTTATGATATTACTATTAGTATTACTTGTCAGGCACCTATTTATTATGTACCTGGTACTGTTCTGACTGCTTCAGAATCATGCTCTGAGTGCATGATTCTGTTTAATTTTCACAACAGAACTACGAAGAAGAGGTTATTTCTACTGTACAGATAAAGAAACTAAGAGTTGGAGGATTCAGTGCCTTCACCCCCAGATACAGGGTAGCAAGTGGAACCAACTTAACTCTGAGCAGAAGCCTGGCTCCTGCCATGCATGATGCTATTTCTAGTGTGGTGTAGAGCACCTGATGTGTGAGTGATCTGCTCTGGGAAGATGATACCTGTTTTCTGAGTTTCTTGTTTCTGAAATCAATAATATTTTCCTCATGCTTTGTTTTTACAGGTATTTACCTTCATTGCGGGGCCACTGCCTAAAACTGTTAATACTGGAGTGACTGAAATCAACTCTGAAAGGCTGGAATTGAGGAGTAAAATTGTTAAAAGAGAAGCCAGTGCTCAAAAGGCTTGTATCGAGCAGGTCAATTCTGCTGTCAGCCATGTCCCCCTGGTAGGTTACCCAAAACATCCAGAATAAAAATCAGGATGAAGAGGGGCATATACCAATAATAAATTCAATGTTTTTATTGCTTTTGGTTCTCCTAAGTATATAGCATTACTGGGAGAAAAGCAACTATGGATGCAATTATTTTCCAAAGACCAGTTTTATTTATTAATCTTTATCACACTTGTTTGATGTGATTATGAATAAATATAATTTACAAATGACATGTACCTCTGAAATGGGAAAGTTTGTCTATGTAGTTCCATTTTTCATGAGCCAAAGATTTGTTTGTTTGTCATCTCAAAACTGACTTGGATATATCAAAATAATAGCAGTACTCTGGAAGCAAGGGACTTCTACCACTAAAGAATACATCTGAACACCTCCCTTCAATCAAGTCTTGAAGAAATCCATTTATCCTTGAACTGAAACCTACAAATTATATGTATATTTGCATTTTGCAGCTGAATATCTAGATGAACTAGGAAAGCAATGGACAAACCCCAAATATTCTTAAAAAATTAGTATTATGAGATACAAACTAATTTCAAATTGGGAATCCTTCAAACACTAGCAAATTAGAAATTAAAAAATACAATTGTGGGAACTTTTTTTTTCCAATGGAATTGATCACTGTTGCATGGGATATGGATCTCTTTCAATGTTTTGTGAAGCCAGGAAGCTAAAGGAAATAGCACATGGGTTTATATGATATTTATGCATTAGATTAGTACGCCCAAAAAGGACTTCAGTAAATTTCATATTGGTCTTCCAGGCTTCTAGCCCTCAAAGTGCTGCCAAGCATGAGTCATGCATACAAAAAGATTCTAATAGTCCCCATGGCCTCCTGTCCAGATTTTAATAAACTCTATAGAAAAATCTATAACACAAACCCTTTTACACTTACAGTTTTCAATGCAGAAATAAAGGGGTTGTTTGCTTTAAAAAGAAAGTAACTTGGCAATAGTGCTTGCCCTATGAATTGAAATCTTTGTTTATATATTTAAAAATCTAAAACATAATGTATTTGATTTAAAAGTTATTTGTCTTATTTTTGTTTAAGAATTGATCACAGCACTGGTGAATTTACTTATGAAATAAGAACTCTTATATACCACTAGAAGGATGAAAATGGTTATATATTTTAAAAAAAGAAATATGGATGTGAGTCAAAGCCATGTAAACATTTATACCTACTAAAACAGTAGTTGATTTATAGGAAACGGCCTAAAGAAAATTATAAAAAATGTTGTATACATGGCATTCCATTGTGATAGTTAAGGAGTTTGGGATTGTTTAGGTGAATTCCGGAGTAATCAAAGGCTGGACTAGTACGTATCAATCAAAGTCACAGTGTATCAAAGTTGCTTGTATGTTTCTAATATAATCTCCAATTATTATTCTTATTTTTAAGGCAGAGTCTTGGTATCTAGTTCAGGCTGACATTGAACTCATTATGTAACCCAGGCTGGCTTTGAATTCATGACAGTCCTCCTGCCTCTGCCTCTGAAGTGCTGAGATCACAAGTGCACACCACCTGGTCATAATCTTCTATGATATAAATTCCCTTTAGTGATTTCCAACCCAGCAAACCTGCTGGGTGGAGTAGCTGCCATTCTCTGGTTCCCTAATATACCTTGCATGACATCCAATGAAAGATATACCTCCTACTTTTACCATTTCTTGTTTATCAATTTTCAAGTTAATTTAGTCTTTTTGCACTCATTGTGATATTAATATACCATTTAATTAACTATTGTATAAATCAACAAAACATAAATGAGAAAAGATAAGTTGTCTTTCTAGGAAAACAAGGCTGAATATTTTAGAGAATTTGAGCCATTCAGACTTGATATCTTTAAGCCTTTTTTAATCAAAAAGAAAAGAACAAGGGGTGGAAGAAGGGCAAGTAAGGAGGAAGGAAGGAAGGAAGGAATTAGTCATTATAAATAGAAAATCATAGGTGATACATTATGGATATAACTTACACAACAAAGAACCTGTAACAAAGAAATTCTAGTAACTTAGTCCCATGTCACTGGCAAATGATCATATAGTGACTTTATTAAAATAAAATGCACTATTTTCAATAATTCCATATATGAACTGGAATTTGATTACTCAAAAGTCCATAGCACTGTATTCAGAAGGATTCTGCACTACTCTGCATACACTATACATGTGAATGCATACCTGCACATACGTGTACTGATGTGTGTACACAGATCTGTGTGTATGTATGCTTAGCACTGTAACAGAATAATAGGGAAGAAATAACTCAGGTACTTAATATATATCCATTTTAACATTTTCTTCTCTTTTCCAAATTTTCTACAGTAAATAGATATTTTGCTATACTAAAATAAAGTTTTACTTTCATGAAAACATTCTTTTTTCATATTTTAATAAATTTAAGTTGTGCACTTCAGAGAATAAAAGAATCTGCACCTTTTTTGTATCTCAGTCATGCTGTATGTGCTGTGTTAAACATGTTCTGCAGGGTAGCTCATTAAAGAAGTCAGTTCATTTGAAAACCAGCATAAGAAAACTAACAAGAAATACAGTTCTTTTACTCTGTTTTCTTTTAAACACTGCTACCATGTTCTATAGCCTTGGTGCCCTATGTTTGCATTTGCTTTTGGCTTTCCATTGCTTTTTTAAATTTTTCTTTTGACAGATTATTGTCTTTGTTACTAATATATATATAATGTATATTATATTATATAATATATTACATATATAGAGATACATTTCATAATTTGCTTATATAGTAAATGTTATCCAAAGAATATTAGGCTATTAAGAAAGTCATATATCAGGCTGGGGATTTAGCTCAGTGGTTCTGCCACCTGCCTCACCAGCACAAGGATTTGAGTTCGATTCTCAGTACCAAAAAATAAATAAATAAATAAAAAGAAAGTCATATACCTACCAAACACAATAGGCATTTAATAAACAGTTGTTAAATATGTGAATTTCCCAGAAGAAACTATAATGCTTAGTGATAGCAATAGAGTGATTTACTTTATTTTTAAAAGTAAATTAAATCAAACAAGAATATTATTTAAAACTGAATGATTAAGACAATAAATATGATAATAAATTTTGTTATAAATATGTTTGTGCATGCCCGTCAAAACACACTTTGCTTCCAGGTGGAAAAAGAATAGAAGGGAAAGAGACAGAAGAGAGAATTGTGACCATTCAGCAGACGAGGTGTGCACAGTTCTCATAGCAATGCAAGAGGCAAGTACTTGCAGGCATTGCCATTGTGTGCCTGACAAAATTTTGGTGGAGAGAGACTAAGTGCTTTCTTAAAAATGTTATAGCTGATAAAGACATGACCAATGTTATTGGAACAGCAAATGTTTTCTTACCTTCAGTTACTCACTTGTTAGGATTTGTAGACTTTAGAAAGTAAAATCAGCAATTCTAGTTAGTCATCCTATTTCTTTAGGTATATTCCTGCACTCTTAGTTTTCGCCTTGGAAGACTCCCTGACTCTTGGTACCATTTTTACAATAACATTTTTCCCAATTATATTTCTTTATCATTATCCTAACATCCATCTCACTCCAATCCCAATTTTAAGAGTTTTTTTTTAACCATCCTTGCTAATGGCTCATGCTGTTTTATGCCAGCTTGCTGTCAAGTATTTGCCTTTTTTTTTTTCTTGGACAGGCAAAAGGAAAGCTGCTGACTGCAAATTTGATGAAAGTGAACCAGATTGTGTGTTCTGCAAAGAAGGGGAAGAGTATACAGACAAAGAACATTATTCCCCTAAATGCAGACGTTGTACATTTTGTGATGAAGGACATGGTGAGTATCTTCAAAAGCAGTTGAAAGAAACTAATCATAGTACTTCATGTAGAACCATTTGCAATGCCATTTGAGATTGGGACCTACTCTAGTGCTGTGTTCACATATAGGAAAGGGATGGACACAGATGGGATAATGCAGGGCAGATACTGAGCTAATAATCAATTTTTAGGGTTAATTATTGGCAGTTCTCCAGAAAGGGCAAATTACTACCAGTAGGTTTCAGCCCTATAAAGAGAGGGTATCAGCTCCAACCCAAACCACAGAGACTATTTTTTTTCCTACCTTGATTTATGCTTGTACAATGGCAGAGAGAGAAATGCAAGATGAGGATAGGGTATTCTTTCTTCTCTGTAGATCTGATTTGTTCCAATAATTCTACTTGGGGACCTGGATTTTCCTATTTATCTCTATTTATTCTGAGGGTCTAGGTTAAAATTTTGTGGAAGTATTTCTACTTTTACTTGATATCAGAAATCAGTGGATTTTCTTGTCCTTATTCAGGCTTTCTTGTCCTTATTCAGGCTTTGACGTGAATTGCTTCCATCTTGGCTGAGCATTATAATTGCTCTCAGAGCCATTGCAATACCTCTGTGTAGGTGCCAGCTCAGAGCTATTCAGTCAGAATTTCTCAGTGAGGGTTTTGGCTTTGGGCAGGAAAAGTTTATAGTGGGACTTGGGATGCATGTGACGCTATGAGCTCTGGATAAAGACGATGCTTTTGGCTTGTGGACTATATTTTTGAGTGGTGAGAATAGGTCAGCCATCTATGCAATGGTGGGGTTATCTTGATTTCTGGATTGCATGTCCACTTAAAATTCTGCTAAATGACTGTTGGCCATTTTAACTTGTGGTTACCTGTTTTATTGTTTTACTATTAAACACTACATGTGTAACTAAAAGCATGGTGTTATGACTGTTGATCAAAGTAGTAGATCTCAGAAATCCATGCAGTTATTGGGCATTATTTTCATAGTTCATTTATAACTACTTATAATTAATGCTTTGCAAACTGGTTTTCTAGGCTTAGAAGTGGAAAGAAACTGTACCCGAACCCAGGATACCAAGTGCAGATGTAAATCAAACTTTTATTGTAACGATTCTGTATGTGAACACTGTAACCCCTGCATCACGTAAGTTTGAGTCTTTTACTGATTAAAACCCTGTACCTTGAAAGATACTGACTTCTTAAAGAGAAGCCACACTGACCAAAAGTTAGGAATTAGGGTTTTAGTTTTATTTTTCCTTAAGCAACTGGATGACCATTTGCTCATTCTGACCTTATTGGGGTTGTTGAATACTTTTTAGTCATTGAACCACAACTGAATACTTCCTATGCACTTAACACTGATCTGGCCACTAAGCTAATATTCTGAGCAAGCATCATTTCCGTCATGAAGGTCTAGAAACAAAGACAGAAAAAGCAATGGTGATTACACCATGTGGCAAACATAAGAAACTATATCCAAGGTGTTACAGGGTAATACAGGAAAATATTTCAACACTGCCAGAGGATATGGAAGAGAAGTTTGACACATGGCTTGAGTCTTGAGTAAGGAAAGAAATAACATTTCACCCAAATACACTTGGGTGGAAGAACATTTCAGGCAAGGTAACAGTGGTTGCAAATTTGTAAAAAGTAAGTTTTGTGAAACAGGGTACCAACTATCAAAAGAAAAGATAGAAGAATCCAGGGCTAAATCACCAAGGTCCTTGTCTTTCATACTAAACAGCTTGGCTTTGACCCAAAGTTAGGTAACCCGATGGTGTCTCTCACTTTTCTCCTGACTCATTGTATTACTTTGAGAAGATCACTTAGCCTCTCTGAACTTCAGTTCCTTTATTCAAGGATGAAGATAATATTTATTTTGTTCTATCTAGCACATTCTTTAGAGATCAGATTGGGTAATATGTATTACCAAAGTAGTTGTTGTTGTGAGATACTGTTTTGCATAAACATAAATGCTTAGGATTACTATTCATTTGCTGCCACAGAAATTTATAATCCACCTTGGAAGAATTTGTGAAATTCATCTAATAGGCTTTAAAAGTAGGGACCTGATGATTATATCTTATTTGCTACCCTGTCCTCTCCCTTCTAGCCCCAAGTGTCTGAGCCACCTGTGGTGATAGAATAGGTAGGGATTGGGATAAGGGGCTTACTAGTCAAACAATAGCAAGAATAGTATTTCTAATTACTTTAAAATCTTGATATTTTCTTCTCACCTTAGGTCTTTGAGTTAGATAATATTATTTTCTCTATATTACTGATGGGGTAAAAGGCTCACAGAGGTTTACTGGTTTCCCAAGCTCCACTAATCACATAACAGTAGAGATAGACTGTGAACTGGGAAAATCTTTCAGTGTTTGGCTGTCTGAAGAGAATCCCACATGAGCCTCTGGAGTCTCCCCGTCACCACTTGATGCCAAAGAAGCTCTTGTAGGGTGAACCGATTACCTTTTCTCAGTGTCATCCTGGGCAGTAGCAGCTGCCTGGCCATTTAAATGTTTTAAGATTTTTGAAATTTTTCTTAGCATTATATTATAAAAGATCATTTATTTTAAACTCTAATGTTTTAAGAGGTCAGTTTATTACCAGTTTTTAAGTTAGTTTTTGTGTCTATTTCATTTTGTCTTATACGTCTATATTTTATCATCTGTATTTTATCCTTTAGCTCTTGATATTTTAAGTCACTCTCTAAGAAATTTCTTCATCACAGCATTAAGACTGTTGCTTTTACCAACTTTAGATGCTTATTCATACATCTAAGAAAATATGTTTATAGAGATGCAAAAATGACTAAGATGCCCCTAATCTGTAATGTGAGATGATGCATCAGTCTATCCAGGCTTTCTGAATTTTCTGTTTTGTTTTGTTTTGTTTTTCCAGGTGTGAACATGGAATCATTGACAAATGCACACCAACCAGCAATACCAAGTGCAAAAAAGAAAGTAATGTTCCCATCCTCCCATTCCCAAATATGCACAGAAGCCAATTGTTTTTTATTATTTGAAAGTATAGTACTTTGTTTAACACTGAAGATTGCCTATTTTTATATAAATATGTAATATTCTAAGTTACAGGTTCCAGAAATAAGTTTTGGTTGCTGTGTATCCTCATACTCCCAATTACGCTAGCTCTGGGTGAGTTCTTCGTTTGTTCTAACCATATATTGAAATGGCTTGAGGAGTAATTGTTCAAAAAAGTTTTTCTCCATCTCTACCCATAAGAAAGCTACCAGGCAGATAGCTCTGTTGTATTGTTGACCATTGTCACTGAATGTACCGATGAGAGCTGATAGGAATTTCTTTGAGCACCAGTTTTAGGGTACTGGGTGGTACTCCCATCCTGCTTATGAACAAGGCTTCTCTGAAGTGGTTGAGTTGGTCAAAAAACAGAAGTAATATTTCACTATTCATTAAGATTTCCCCCTTGAATTAAGAGAACACAAAAATCAAAGGTTTTCCCTGGAACAGTCTCATAGAAAGCAGTTATCAATTTGTCCCTGTGTGTTTGCTCTCGGCACCAAATTCTGTATTTAAAAAATTACTTATGTTCCTTAATTTGAAATACCATGGCAATATATTTTATGCTAGGATTACTTAGTAAATTCAGTGGATAAGCCAAAGTTGGGTGTAATCATAGTTAATCTGGAAAATCCCTTTAAAAAAATCATCCATAATACAGATGACTTCTGTACAGTGACTGAGAAACATCAATCTTTTCCTTCTCTATTGGAACAAGTCACTGTTTCATTAGTTTAGCTGAAGAAGTCTTAACTTCAAAGGTTATTTAGTTAAAAATACATAACCAGTGTTTAAACATTATTACTGTTTCTTCCATTTCTTACTGACATCAAGACTTGTACTCTCTCAGTGTGTATATTTTAGTTATCTGTGAGTGCACGTATCAGAATTTCTAGCCATTAAATGCCCTTCCAGGGCAATTTGTCTTTAATTTTCTAGGTCTATTGGCTTCCATTCCTGGCTGCAGCTGTCTCACACACCATCCTGGAGTGGGTGTGATGGTGGCCATATAATAAGTCAAAAAGCCAGTTTCATGCTAGGTCAGGTTAGTGTGATTGGATGACTCAATTATGGTGTGTCCTGTCTCCTGCACAGTTGACTCAGTGGGATGAGAGGAGCACAGTGCCCTTTCTTGTTGTGTTTGGCAACTTTAAATTTCAGTGAATTTCTCCTTCCTGCTAATACTTCTCCCAGTGTGAAAGTATGTTCTCATACGCCACTTGTCAGGCAGAGATTTGATTCTGATAGATGTTTCTTTGATCTTTCAGGGCTGTTGATGAAGTACTACAGGAGAAACCATTTTCACCCTGAAAATAAGTTCCAACATCCTGTAGGTGTTGAAAAATGCATCAGCCTTTTAGAAAGAATAAAGAAAGTAGTAATTCAGCTTTTCATTTGTTACTTTCTTTGAAGAAAATTTGTGCTGTGTTTTTGTGTGCATTACAAATGAATTAACATATGGTACCTAATTTATGAGCACACTTTTACATACATACTGCAAGAAGCAACAGGGGGAAGGGGGAAGTAGACTTGTGCTGAATGTGAGTTGAAAAAAAGGGAGTCGTGTAGCTCCATGTTGCCCATTGATGTTATCCTCAAAGAGAAACAACCTTTACCAAAGCATGGATTCACTATTTAAGCCTGGGCAAAAGAGTTGCTTTTAAAACCTGTCATAAAAAGGCATAGTTCGACTCTTTCCAGCTGACTCATAGGCCAATTGCTTACTATACCTTTTCCCAGCATATTATCGAGGCATTTCAGATAGCGAAATTATTTGTTGGGAAGAAAAACCACTTGTAGTTGACTGAATAACAATCTTCTCACTTGAGGTTAGGGCTCAGAAGGATTAGATTTCTTTAAATCAACAGGATAGCAAAAAAATTCAATTTGGACATTTATTTCTCAAAAATGAAAATAGTTACAGTGAAGAAAATTTTAGAACCATTATGTTTACTGTATAATAAATCTATATAAAAGTAATCTCAGCTCATTTCATGAATTCCTTAGGTTCCTTGCCTTTGCAAAAAATGAACTAATATTGCTTAAAACCTTTCAGAATCAAAATTTGAATGATAATAAAATCCTAATCATTTAGTCTAGTTTCTTATTTTTACAATCAAGCAGCTTATTCTGCTTCCTTCAGAAGTAAAGAAGCATAAAAGATGACACTTATAACCTTCTAAATACACTTTTATTTATCTCTCTCCCTTTTTTCCATCTCCCAGCACCAGGAAACAGAAACAGAGCCACTGAATGTCTCAGGTAAGGCTTTTAGCATTTTATTTCATGGAGACATCTTCCTTTGTGGCAATAGGCCAGTTTTAGAGTAAAATAATTTTACTAATTTCAATGATGTATTGTGGCTCTTGGTATTCCTTAGGCTTACAAATATTCCTTCTCACCATCAAGGGTTAATCAAATGGTTGGCTTAAATCTATAGCACTACTCATCATTGAAAATAAATGACAGTGGGACACTATATTCTGTTTTCCTTCACAATCAGGTAGATATATTACAGAACCGGCTAAACTGTTGGAGAGATTAAACTGAATTGCAGACATGGTTATTATGGTTGTCCCTACTGCATAACAATATTTATGCTTCTGCTTGGTTCTGGTCTTTGACCCAATGGTTCAGAGATGAGATGATCATGAACTCTTGGCCTTTACTTTCAGATTTGTGGTCACTGATCATAAAGTCCATAAGAAAGCACTAGAGGGGCAAATTACTAACATAGAAGGAGTTACAATTATAGCTCATGATTGTTTTTTATTTTCCTCAATAAGTTGGTTAGATCTCTAGGACTTACCTGTATTCTTAAGAATGATAAGGGGAGAAATATATAGATATAGATATAGATAGATTTCAGTAATGAGAATTTCATTTAGAAAAATAAATTTTCAGAGACTATTTTCTATTTTACAGATGCTGACTTTAGTAAATATATACCTAGGATTGCTGAAATAATGACAATAAATGAAGTTAGAGAATTTGTTCGAAAGAATGATGTCTCTGAAGCCAAAATAGATGACATCAAGAATGACAGTCCCCAAGATACAGCCGAGCAGAAAGTTCAACTGCTTCATAGTTGGTATCAAGTTAATGGGAAGAAAAATGCATACTTCACTTTTATCAAAAGTCTTGAAAGAGAAAAACTTTATGCTCTTTCAAAGAAATTTCAGGATATCGTCCAGGCAGACATGAGTAATAACCATGAAAATTCAAACTTCACAAGTGAAAATGAAAAACAAAGCTTGGCCTAGAGTGCAAAACAACTAATTTAGTTTTGATTATGTTCATTCTGCAAATAGAAAAATTAATGTGAAAAATGTTTTCAATAACTGAAGGCTGTAAAATTGCTTGGCTTTTTGTGAGTGCATTTTATTTTTCCATTTATTAGATTCGTAGAACCAGTATATTGTATTTACAATTGAAGACTTTGTGATTCTGCCTTTAGGAATGTTCAAAATCTAGGTAAGAAGACAGACCCAGCCAAGAGTAGATATAATAGCAAGTTTAGTGCTCAGATAGCAGTGTATGCAAAGGAAAAGAAAAAGCTTAGTATCATCTCTAAAATCTAACATATGACTCTACAGAAATGAATATAATTAATGTATGTTGGTACAAATGTTTATTGACAAGGTGATTCCATTCCATGAATCCTTTTGTTGCACTGTCAATCACTGGAGTAGCTACTCTGCCTCTGTATTACCTACCTACACTCCTTGATGACTAGAGATTTTGCCATATTTGTAAACCTTGTTTACAGGCCAATCTGAGAGGAGCATATTCTAACAAAACTTGCATGTATATTTGAATGAGGAATTTAATAAGGTTCTACCTCAAAGATCTCTGCATGGATCATTGGTACTTTATCATGTAATATTTCAATCTTGAATTTGCATGGAAAATGCAGATAAAATCACAATGCTTGAATATTTTCTATCTTTATGCCATTTTACTTGACAAAATAATCTACCTCTTACTCATCTGGCACAAGCATTTTGAGCAACAGGGTATGACCAGTTTTGTTACTTCTCCATTTTCTCTTTGATGTTCATCTTGATAAGCATAATATACTCGGAAACCTGTAAAGATTGCCAAAGAATTACTGAGTGATCCCATTAAGATCAAGACTGCCACAGGAAATTGTGGACCTGCCTGGAGAGACCAAACGCCTCTTAATGGAGGTAGCTTTAGCATGTAACAAGAGTCCGTGTCTACCACCAGGAGTGATAAGGCCAGTTCTTCTTTTGCCCTTGTCCTGCAGAACGTTCACCAACTCTCCATGGGTTCACTTGGCTACAAATGGCTACTTCTGTCCAGCCAAGTTACCATCATCATCAGGGTTTGAGAATTGCTCTTGTTCTCTACAACTTAGACAAACAAACTGCTGTGCCCACCACTACCTTGTTGTGTTTTATATTCAAACATTTCTGAAAGTTTGTATTATATGTGAATTTTAATACATAATATTTATAGTTAAATATATGTACAGTGAACTAAAGGTAGTTATACAATAAAACAGGTGTTTAAAATTTCCAAAACAGCTGAGATTTGAGGGCAGTTATTTTTCCTGTATGTTTGGGGATATACAAAGTAGGTTAAAATAATTAAAGTAATGCTTTCAGTATTTTGAGTTATCCAGTTTTTAATGGGGATCTTTTTTATTTTTGTTTTTCTTTTCTCTGACTACTGCTAACTGCAACCTGTCATGAATCTTTGAAGTGTTCTTTGATCTTTCAGAAGGTCTTTCCTTTTAAAATCCTTTTTAGAAGTTATTTCCATAGATTACTGCCAAGATTATTTTTCCAAATAGTACATGATCATTAGATGGCATCACATTAGAGACACTGAAATGTAGATTTAAAAAGTACAAAATTTAAAGGGTAGGATTTATTGGTAAAAAAGCTAATACTACATTTTAGCTACTTTTTGACCACTGGATTCTTTCTCTATCTCTCTGAAAACCTTAAAATGTATTTATCTTTTTGTTTTTTATATTGGCAACATGATTTTAACACAAAAGTCTCACAGCCATTGCTTTTATGTTAACTCTAAAATTAGTTTAAACTATAAAATTGAATATAATATTATAGTAACAAGATTTAAGGAATGTATGACTAACTCAGTTATATCAAATAATCAAAGTTGATTTTGCTGATCTAACATGTTAAAGTTAACAAAATAAAAACAATTTTCCTGTCAATATTCACTTCCATCTTTCTAAAAATTTAATTGTAATAAATACTTTAAACCAATATTTGCAAAGTATTAACATTTCATTAATTCATTTAAAATGTATTAATGAGATAACTTACATTCTTTCTTATACTAAGTCTTAGAAATCCAGTTTGTATTTTATTTTGTCAGCTTGGACTGACCACAATTCAACAGGTCCAATAACTACATACACTTGGTGGCTACCATATTAGTTCCGGTCTATATTATTGTGAGGACAGGTTGGAACAAAGCTTTATTAGAACAGCCTGAACTCCACAGCTGGTTCAGTTTCATACTAATGTCTGGCCCTTCAGAGGTCTTTTGTATGTGGTTTGTGCTCTGATTGGCTGGAACAACAATATCTCCTGTCCACATTTTAGTTTTGGGAATTATCCTGTTTACAGTGCGCAGCAGTTCTTCCCCTTGTAATTGTTCTTTGCATGGCTTTTATTGCCCCATCCCCACATAGTATTCATCCAAAGACTCCAGAGGACTTCTGTATAGATCTGGAGCTATTTTTCCATGTAGCTCCCTTTTTGTCAGTACTTGGTTCTAAAAGCCCAGAAGCTTTATCCTCCTAAGCTTCAATCTCTGCTCTTCATGTTAGCAAGGTGGTTGTACTTTGCTCAGGGGCCCCACCTGTGCTATGATATAAAATGTGCTTTTAGGCAGAAAGACTCACTGATCATAGGGCCTATTCATTAGTTCTCTTTTTGAAGGGTCAAAGTCTGTGCCACTTCTTCCAGTTTTCTACTTGTAGACAGGAGCAAGGCAAGTCTCACTTCTTCCTATCCAATAGTGGATCTCCCCCTTTGCAAGGTGAAACTGACTTAGAGAACTTCTTGTGCCCACTCTGATGAGTTCCAGCCAAGAACATTGGGTTCTTGGGGAGGAGGAAGAAGTCTTTGTATGTGGGAATGTGGCTCTTTTCCTCCTGGTTTCACACCATGGCTTGAAGCATAACTTCTATCTATATCAAGGATCACAGCATGTTCCTGAGTTGAGGTGAACCTTTGGTTCAAATTTACCCTCATTCTGGTGAACCTGGTCTTGTTTGTAGTCATCATCCTGGATAGAAATATCAACCAGATGCTGCCTTTGAACTGCAGAAATATATTATTTACAAACATGTGGGTATTTGTCATTGATATGTTCATGATGTTCTCCAGTCTATGAGTTGATCATTTTGTAGGTACTGAGCCAGCAGTTTCTGTACAACTGTGTGGATAATGCACATAATAAATGAAATTTATATTTTCCCCCTCAGTACTGTAAAAAACAATCCCCCCCCACAACCCAAAAACAGTATACCAGGGTTTGTATTTCTTTCTTTCTTTCTTTCTTTCTTTCTTTCTTTCTTTCTTTCTTTCTTTCTTTCTTTCTTTTTTTTTAAATCAGGCAAGGACCTCACTATAATACCTAGGCTGGCTTGGAGTTTAACGGTTTCCCTACCTTGGTCTCCCAAGTGCCTGGGATTACAGGTATGTAACATGGTACCTGCCGTGAAGTCCTTTCTAAAATTGGTTTGTTACCTATTTTAATTTCAGTGATTTTATGTCAGTTTTGTAGGTTGGTTTTCCTCAGATGACTTTCTTCATGTACTTTTGAACTTGGTTTGTAGATTCATCACAGACTTTTCTTGTCTTTCAGCAGTAACCTCTCCATGTATAGTGCTTATATGGGCTCTTTTTTTTCATTAATTTTATTGGTACATTTAAAGCAAACAATACAGTTACATTTATCATTGGGATCTTATACCTTTGTATGATGTATCTTGGTTCTTATTTTTAATCCCAATTTGTGTGCCAGAAATCCTAGGCATCTTGGGACTCACACCCCTTGTGATTTCAGGGCTACAACATTCAGTCATGTGTCTTAGCTCAGCTATGGGTTGTAAAGTTGCACCTTGGTCTTCCCAGATCTTAAGTCCATGGATTTATGTAAGCCAGAGAACCAGGCAGTAACTTGATTTATTTTCTTTTTTGTGTGCTGGACATAGAATCCAGGACTTTGTACAAATGCTCTGCAAATGAACTTCACCTCCAGCCCAGTCCTGGGTTTTAGGAAGGGAGTTTGGATGCTGTTTTCAGCTTTATGTGGAGTACTTTGTTTTCTCCTAAATCTAAGACCAGATTTCATTGCTTCCCAGATATTGAATCACTGGGAGTTTGGTTTATGTTGAAATCATCTTCTTACAGTTTATCTTTATTTTTATAGCAAGGGAGAATTTATCTCACTTTTGATAAAAGACTATGCCTTTTTATCTTTATTTGAAAATGTTTCATGTATTATTACTATTTGCTCAGATTGAAAGAGGGTGGCCTTGAAGAAGTGAATTTATAATTCTATATTAACTGGGAGGCCTCACTTTAGTTATTATATATTTTGTTTTGGATTGGTTTACATTTTTAAGTTCAATGCTCACATTGTTTTAGTTTTGTTTTTTAGTTATATAGATTTTTTTAACAGGATTCAAGAAAGAAGCACAGAGACTAGTATTTCCTATGTAGATATCATTTTATTATGGTGGTGCATTGAAAGCCATGCAGATTTGAGACAAAAATCTTTATTTTAATCTTTGGCAGAAGCAAATGGTTAATCATTTGGGGCCTTAGTTTTCCCATATATTAAATGGAAAAATTGTTTCAAGATGTTGGAGTTTTCATGAAGATTTGATTTTATATGAAATATATGCCATATTACCAGCTCTGTTCATTGATGAACAAAAATAACCACCCCCCCACTCAGATGCTTAAGCAGACTATCAAGTCATTGGCATGTCTTGCTGAAAGTTCAGAGATAGGGTAGGTAACAAATGCCCATCAACCAATGTATGGATAAAAAGATGTAGTTTATTTATATAACGCAATATTACTCAGCCATAAAGAAAGATAAACTTGAGACATTTATAACTAAATGGATGCAACTTGAGGCTATACTCTTAAGTGAAATAAATCTAACATATATGTGTAAATATCACATTGTCTCTCTAGTGTGGGAAACTAAAAGGGTAACTAAAGATCAAAATGTATATAATGTGAAATTAGAAGAAACTGTTCAAAAGGAAAGGGAAACTGTGAAAGGGAGGGGGGAAGGGAAAAATTGATAGAAGGAAAGAATGGAAACAAATTTTGTGAATGGGGAGAGGTTGAAGGGAGGGAAGGAAATGGAAGAAAAAGAGGACTCAAGCTATATTATGGACAGATACAAACTCCTTTTGATGAATGTGATAATTATGTGTATTTAAATTGTACCAATAAATTAATTAATAAAAATAAATAATAGAGATAGTTTGATTAACCTAATTGGGTTCCTCCTGTCATGGTTTCTTGTGTTTCTCTTGGATCTACCTTTTTATATATCTACTTCTTATATATCTCTTACGTATCTTCTTGTCAGACTGATAGTGACAAGATAACTGTAAAAATTCTGGAAACTGTATATCACAACATCCAGAAGATAATAACACTTTGGTTTTAGTCCTCCAACCAGGAGTGCTGAGAGCCATTCTTTTTTTGTTTGTTTGTTTTGGTACCAGGATCAAACTCGGTCCTTGCGCTTGCAAAGCAGGTACCAGAACCACTGAGCTACAGTTCAGGCTCTAAGCAAACTCTGTACCAATGGATATGACTGAGAGAATGTGTTATGCAGATTAGCTCAATCCATAGCTCCATTCTTGGGGAAGTCTAGGGTAACATCAGTTTCCTGGAGGCAATAAGCTGTTGGAGAAAGGGAGGAAAACTTTTCAAGGGTTGAAATAGCTATTTGGGAAAGGATGGTAGGATGGTGCTTTGTGCACCACTCAAAGTGGTTTAAACAATAGAAAACTGTATTGCACTATATGATAAACAGTCCAAAGATATGGCTTGCTAATGACACTGAAACTTCCTGTACCAACTCATAAGAGCCAATTGTTGAATAGTTGAGAATTTTGAAGGCAATTGTTACGTTGGTAACTTGATATTACCAAAGTGGGAGTATTTATGTTAGAGAAGTTAGTAAAGAATTCAAATTAGGAATTCCAGCTTGTTTTCCCTATCACTGTCCTAAAAGTGGCACCACTGGGCAGAAGTCAGGAGTGGTTGATTCAGTGGTTCAATGGTCTTAGGGGCAAAAGATCCTTTTTCTTGTGCTTCAATCTATAGCATCAACATTGATTTTAGAGCACAGCTGGTTTCCTGTAAGCACCTAGAGCAGCTTTATCAGTGAAACAGAAAAATTATTCTTATCTATATCCAATAGCAAAAAAGAAGAAGAAGGAAAGAAGGAAAAAGAAAGAAAGAAAGAAAGAAAGAAAGAAAGAAAGAAAGAAAGAAAGAAAGAAAGAGAAAGAAAAAGAAAGAAAGAAAGTCTCCCTTCAGATGTAGATCACACATCTGGTCTTTCAGTATCATTGAGCCAACTTTAGTCATTTGTCCACCCATGTGGTCTGCCACTTGTGACTGGCTTGGGCAACTCAAGATCCACCTCTGGAGTGGAGCATAGTTTCTTCTATGTTTCACTAGCTATGAGAAAAAATAGATCTCAATGAAATTCTGTTAGGAAAATAAAAAAGTCAAATGGATTCTAGATAATGCCCACAATAAAAGGAATGTCCAACAATGTCTACTACCTGGATTCTCTACATCCCCTAAACAGCTCAATAAGGATTTGTAGCATGATCCTCGAATAATAAATTGTTTTTTATTAGTCTTATTAGGCTTCTGATCCATGAAAAAGACATGATGAATTTTTTGTGAAGTACTCAGAGACCTCTAAAATCCTTAAAAGTTGTAAATAATTCTCAGCTTGAGTCTAGGTTAGGTCTGTCA